TTTATATAAGCACAGTAAAGTGAAGTACTTCTGACAGTGATACAATAATGATGTTGACATTGCAGATCAACTACAATATCTTCTGAAATAATTTCGACAGTGACACAATAATGATGTTTGTATTGTTGATCATCATCAACATCGACGCCATATCAAAAATCAGCATCGGCGAATGACTTAAATTTAGTCACGTTTTGCTTACTCAATTGATTTGCGTAATCTTTGCCACTGTTTCATTTCCGTTACTACACACCTACCTTCAATTTTATATATCCTCTTCTTAATATCAATGGGGTGTCACAGAGCAGTGTGTAAGTGTTACGTCAACTAGCTAACTAGTGAGCGTAGTGTAAACAATTCCATAGTAGTTTTTATCTTGAAGCGGAAAGGGAAAGAGTATGAAAAATTGCTTTGCAGTTTAACACTTCATTTTCAAAGATGCAGTGTAACAGTCACGCTGCAGTGCTACGTCTGCGTTTACATATTGCAACAGTTAACAAACTGCTTGCACATCATCCTTGCACTATCTGTACAAAGTGTATGCTATCGGTGAAACGGTGAGAATCTATCACACAGGAAGCAAAGAACGGAAAAATCCTTAAAGCGATTTTCCTGTCCTTATTTTGATATTTTTAAAAATTGTCACACACTTAATGTGTTTGGACTTGGATTTTTAATGCAGCACTTGGAAACGCTTAAAGCGGTAAACGTGCCACGTATTTTTAAAACATAAACATTAGCTTAACGCGTGCCAAAAGGTGGACGTTTGGTCGTTTGGTCGTTTCGTGGTTTTATGACGTGGGGCATACAAAATTTTTACACTACTTAAGTGTGCATGTCCTCATTTATGTCATAGTGTCATTTGTGTCGTGTGTCTGACAAATGCTTACAAACAAAGACATCAAAGTCACTGCGTTAATGTCTTTTTAAGCAATGGCACTTAGTGCGAATATGGCAGCGTTTAGTCAGGCATAGACACCTGCATACACACTCACACATACTCATGCTAAAACAATATAAATTAATAACAAAAAATTCATAAAAATTTGCTCAATCTCTAAAGGAAGTAAAGTCTAAGCGAGCATTTATATAAATCTGTTCCAGGTGGTTGCACACCATAAAGCAGTTTATCTTTGAGATATGCTTTGTTTGGAAACATGAAAAGAAAGCGAAGTAAAGAGAAAGTCAAAGTCATTAAAACAATGCAACAACTTGTTTACCTAATCTTTTACCTTTGATCATTTAAGGTCAATTAGCTTGTTTAACACATCGAGAAAAATCCTTCGTCATTTTAGTGCAAAACTTGAGCTTAAGCTTGCATGAGTAAGGATAAAGATGAGTAAGGATATTTTTCTACTCACAATTTTATTACCAAAAAATCAACATAAATTGTACATGAAGCAGCAGTTTGTTAACATACAAAAGGAAATAATTTACTAACGGCGATTTATTTGGTTTCACGGTGCGTATGAGTAACATTTTAACTATTCTTTCATATCTTTCGAATATATGCATATGTTTTATGACGCTGTAGAGCGTGTAGTGTATCTGTGATTCCGCTCGATTTATCAACAATTCTGCTTGACTTCAGTACAGGCGATAGATATAAACAAAAGTGACAGGGTCTCAATAAACAAATTTCTGGTATGGACTTTGGCGACGGCTGAGTTCAACCCCAGCTATATACGATCCTAAGAAAAGGTTCTTTACAAACTTGAATTTTCTAGTGTTTTAATGAACATTAATTATGTTATACATTAGTGTTATACATAATTATTTTGCTTTTGCATATTTTTTTTCAACTTTACTGTTTGCAACTGCAATTAACATTAATTAGTAAAAAAACCTCGAAACTAAATTTGGATAAGCAATAAGATGTATGATTCAACAGTACTAATTAAAATATTTGACTTTCAACTATATGATTCTAAAAATTGAATAAAGCGTAATATTTTCATAATGAGGTTTAAGTAATTCACAATTATAAAAAACTTGATTTTTCAAAACATGTAAATTCAAACGTTAGGAATAAAGTTAGGACTTTACCTCAAATACTTAAACTAAAAATAATTTTTCCAAATCTACCTAAGTTCTTCCAGAATAACTAAGTTCTTCAGTTCTGGCGACACATTTTGTTTTATTTATGGTTCTTGCACACCATTCATCTTCCACAAACTCCATCTATGCATAAATAACGTCCACTACCGAACTCAATGTATTAGTGTTTTACAATCACAATGAATTGGAATTAGTTGTCTAATCTCTTAATTACCTCATCTTATCTTAAAAACTTAAAATATATATTTTACATGAAATACTTTAAATTAAAATCATTAAAGTCCAGTTTTACAATACTAAATTAATATTTGACGCTAACGTAATATATGCAATTTTACCATTGAGTTTTTAGTGACGAACATATGAGGGTTATTTACCTAAGAGTTTCTCCGCTTTCTATAAATGTCGACAAAATTTTATGAATGTTGACTTGAAAATTAACTAGATAACTAGGGCACAAGTCAATACCTGGTACTTGCAGTTTAAAAAAAATTATTTACAAATAATTAAATTCAAGAATTATTTTTAAGACCACTGATGATTGGCCGTATGGTCAGCCAAAAATTCAATTCAATATAATATAAAAAAAAATTTTTTTTTTGTTTTTGTAGTTTACTACTTTTCGAAAACCTCTCTAGGTAAGAATACACAATTTAAGTGCCTAAATAACAGTTCTAAGTTTTAAATTAATACCAGTGCAGCATTGACATATTTTTTAATTGTTATTTCCACTCGTATTAATGTTGACTCTTAATGAGTTTTTAATATTTATTAAGAGTTTATAAATTATTACGAACAATTATTATGTGCTGTTCAAAATTCTAAAATTTTCTAATTTACAAAATCAAAATGTATATACATGAAAATTTGATTGTCAATTTCTAATTTTCAAAATAAACTTCTCTCTTTGAATAAAGCCACATGAACGCCACACACTTAAGTCTTAACATTTCAGAACTTATCTACAACTAGGGACTCAAAAAAACTCATGTCTCTAACATTACTAACATCACTAACAGTACAGTTTTTTTAATTATGCACTTTAAACATTTTTATGATTAAAAACAAATAAATAAATAATAATTATTAATAAATAGTGAATAAATGAAATAGTTATTCTAGAATATTCGCAATAATAATTTACCTTGATGTGTTGATGAATATAGAAAAATGTCCCCAGGAACGGAACTAAAGGTTAAGGTTATAATATTTAATTTAAACAAATCTTCAAATTAATTCTTGAAAAGTTAATTATTTTTGCCAAAAGTTACGCTTCTTATGATGAGAAAGCAGCTATTTTTTAAAAGTTAAAAGGATTTGAATAGCAAAGAAAAGACAAGAACAAAAATTTAGTTATTTTTTGAAATTTGGTTGACCACACAACGCTGTTTCTAGTATTGCCAAGTACTCATCTTCTGTAGCCTTATGAATAAGGCTACACCCTTATTCCACCCTTTTGTGGAATAAACTGGGCTAGTACAAAACAGATTATCAAGGAAATGGAAACTCATATGCGGCTAGAG